TAAACAGACTGGTATGTGTGATGTTCGTTTACTGTGTTAGCCTCCAAAGCCCGTAATTTCAGTTTGAATGAAAACTGTATCCATTAATGTACATGACAAGAGTATCGTGCCAAAAATTAATTAGATTAATACTGCGAATTGCAAACTTGAATCAGTTTCGACATCATTTCCAAATCCATCACCTTTGAACAGATGTGAAGCAAAATTACAAATGGTTAATTAAATCTTTTCAACTTAATTAGGTATTTGTATGTGTAAATTCAACAAACACAACTTTCAAGACTTATTTGTAATAAAGCTTAGAACACATTTTTCGTATTGACTACTAATAAACTTTCCAATTGATATACCAAAACAAGAACAAAAGCACCAGCATCACTATAAAAGTGATTGCAGCTACCAATATTTCCCCATCCATTGTGAGAACAGCTCCCAAGTGAGGCCTCTGCGCCTGTACATCGCATGCCGTTTAGCCATATCTTACCCGTCCCTTGTCCACGGTACGAAGCTCCTACAGCTTTGGTAAAACCAAGTTGTCTACATGCAACATTCGCATCGGGCATATCCCAGCCACCTTCATTAGCTGTTTCCCAAACTGTTCATAAACTGTTGACCCTGGTGATACACCTCCATGAAACTTATCAGTATCCACTGAAAGATAAGAACATTATAAATGAAGTAAAAGTACCATATTGGTGAGTATTGCAGGCTGAGTCAACATTCAGCAAATCCCCGTAATTAGAATGACACACTGTTCCCCATTGACCATGGTGATTAGTAAGAAGTATTAGATATCAACGCATTATATAACAACATTGAAAACGTACCATTTAAACAAACTTTAACAAACAGACGTATTTGTGATAATGGAACGTTGTGTGCATAACGTTTATTGATCACTACCACTAGGATGATAAATTAATTCTGAAAATTGAACGAAATCACACGACACCAGCATCCCATGTGTGACCGTTGCATCCAGAGTAACTTATATTTGCAATTAAAACATCGGTATGGATGATACTGGTTTAAAGTGTTTGCTTCTAAAACTTATACATTACTTTGATACCTGAAGATACATGTGGATTAATGAGTCATTAATTAATGTACATAAGAGTACCCTGCCAAAACTTTGATTAATCCTTCCAAATTTGCTTCAGGCTAAACAACATTTTTCAAATCAACCAAGCTTAAACAGAGAAAATAACAAAATATGTAGCGCTAGCTGACAAACTTATTTTTACAATGAAGCAAGATTCATGTTCCAAACAAAAATATAAGCAAACGACACCAGCATCATCATCGTGATCGCACCATGAGGCAAGATTTCCCCATCCATTATGAGAACAGCTTCCAAGTGAGGTCTCTGAGCCTGAACATCCCATGTCATACAGCCATATCTTACCCGTCCCTCGTCCCCAAACTGAAGGTCCTACAGTTTTGGTAAAACCAAGTTGACGGCAGGCCACCTTGGCATCTGGCATACCCCAGTAATCATCACACACTGTTCCCCATTGACCCTGGTGATACACCTCCATGATACCTAGATAGATGCTTAATTTAGACACGGTAGACTCTTCAGGATTTACAATTAGTATAATGCTAAAATTACTTAATTCTATTTACAACGTATACAAAGCTAACTACAAGTTAATTAACTAAAGACTATTAGTAATAACAATACAATATAATTACATAATAAGAAGAGTACCTGCTTTCCATGAGTGCCGTGTATACTACGTGATTAAAATTCAATTGAGGAAGTTGCCGCAGCCTATTCGAAATTGACTCAGAGTGCTTGCTTGCCGCAACTCACATGGAAGGCTATTCCATATCACCGCACCATCATAGCTAAAACATAGCTAAACATATCTTTAGATAATTGGTGCATGGCCTAGGAATAGCTAATTGCCTTCGGTGTTTCTCAAAGAATAATTTGTTATGCTGCTACGATCGATAAAAATAGAACTCAGATATGCTGGTGTGAGATCATGCAGTGATTCATGGACCATAACAGCTTTTTGTATTTTTCGCTGGACTTCTAGTTTTTTTAATCAAAGACATCGTTGTAACCACCATAACACACTGTTCCCCATTGGCCATTGTGGTAGACTAAGATAGTGGTTACATCTTTAGTTCCTTCAGGCTTATATAGTCGTAAAACCAGTCGTAAATAGCACAAAACATCAGACAAAATACTGCTTGTACTTGGGTGGAAGTGACTCAGTTAAACCACGGTTAATGTCGTTTGTTGCATATAAGAGAGGTTTTGGAGAATTTAGCCATGCGAACAATATTGCAATAAATTTTTTTAAAGAAATTGTTATATCATATATAGTTGTTAACCTGTCATTTTAGTGTAATTTCTTTCTTCTATTGTAAAGTATTGAAACTTGTTAAATACTCAATAAATTATTATTATTATCGTTATTATTATTATTATTAGGCACTGAATTTGAACGATAACGATAATAGATATAATGAAAAGAAATTAAAAATAGGAATTTCAGGTAATGACGATTAGATTTGGCAACACAAACACGGAACAAATGAGTTTTTAGAGCATATTTGAATAAACTTACCAAAGATAAAGTGCGTATAGATAAGGGAAGTGAATTCCATAGTTCAGGAGAAGAGACAGCAAAACACCATGAAACGACATGCAACCTTCGTATCTTGCATTTCCCAGTACGAGTGAAGTATATATCCACTAACAAACGCCCAGAAACGTGCACTTACACGATACCAGCGTCATATTGGTGAGTATTGCAGCCAGAGCCAACGTTTCCCCATCCATCATGAGGACAGCTGCCAAGTGACGACTCTGAACCTGTACATGCCATGTAATTCACCCATACTTTACCCGTACCTCGTCCTTCCCACGAAAATCCTACAGCTTTAGTGAAACCTATTTGCCGGCATGTAACCTGCGCTTCTTCCGTATACCAGCCATTACGACCGACCGTTCCCCATTGACTCTGGTGATACACCTCCAAGATAAATCTATAAAAAAAAAAACTTTTATATTTCTTTTCAGATAATTTACACTTATTTTATTCTATTTATTTTCAGATTATTTGTTCTTATTCTAGATGGTCTAGAGAGAGAATTTAGACCACCGCCTGCTTAATTCAGTTGGTAAGAGCGTCGGTCTCTTGTGCGGGAGGTCGCGGTTTAATCCTGGAAAAAATTAAAATGATTGCATTCATAACTTAACGGCAGTACGCAAGGACAGTTCGTTATGAAGAGATTTCCCCTGCTGCTAACGTATCTATTCGCGTTCCGCAAGGGTCAATTCTTAGACACTTGCCATTCACGGAATACATCAGTGGGATACATCGGGAGTTAGCAAAAACAACAATATCTATGTTTGCTGATGACATGGCGCTTTCCTGTGCTGATACATCTGCAACTGAACTTAGAAGAAAATTAAATGCTGATCTTGAGAGCGTCTCTTCCTGGCTTCAAGATAATAAATTAACACTTCGCATTGATAAAATGAAATTCATCATAATTGGCACTTCTGGTCAACTCAAGAAGATAGACAACATCCACCTTTCCGTCAATGACAACTATTTTGAAAGTGTGAAATCCTTTAAATACCTTGGTGTCATCATAAACGAAAAAAGGCGCTCAATAAGCGCATGTGCCTACTGCCATAAGAAATCATTATAAATTGTTATACAGGAAAGGAATGGAAGTTGGTAGCTGACTATTGAGATATATGAAGAATATATATGTCGTAGTAAATAATTTTATCACCGTAGGTACGAAAGATAGTAGACTGACGTTTCGGACGTTAGTCCTTCGTCGGAGTCAATGAGAGAAAGAGAATCCATGGCATACAGCCATACTTTTCCCGACCCACGTCCATACCACCAATATCCCACAGTTTTAGCATAACCAAGTTGGTGACATGCAACCTTGGCATCCCTCATATCAAAGTCGCTATGACACACTGTTCCCCATTGACCACTGTGGTAGAACAAAATAGTGATTACGAATTTACATTTACATCGGGCTTACGCAGTCGTAAAATCAGTCTTAAATAGCACAAACGAATATCATATCCACAATTCTAAGTGCTTGGGTTGAAGTTAGTAAATTAGAAGAGAATTAACTTTTAAAAGTCCCATAGACCACGTTTAGGTGATATGCAACGAAATCTGGTGTCACGATTTTCCCACAGAACGTATCTTATGAACGTAAGACCCTTCCCTCCCGATAAAAAATAAATTTACCCCCACCTGTCATGGAATATTCTGGCACCGCTTCTGAATTTGCTTCAAATGTCATAAGGAACTCTGTGCCAATTTTGGTGCTTTCTTCCGGATATAACAATCTTTGCATTGGAGTGCCACTACGATGAAGTTTTAATGTCTCCTTTTTGTACTATTTAAACACACGTTAAAGTACTTTACAAAAGAAGAAAACTTGCTTTTCTTTTCTTGTTAGCATCTTTTAAAAGTTTGTGCTAATTAGGAGGTTAATGACGTTATATTCTCCAGTCAGTTCTTTCAACATAGATTTTAGTATATGTCTGAGAGAATTCGATAAATGTCATTCAAACTTTGCAGTATACTTGTATAATATATGGAACCTGAAAATGCACAAATTGTGGTTGCCATGGCAACTTAATGGTGTTGAGGCCCCTAACAACGATCTTAGCCTTTCAGATATTGCTTTGTGATTTCTAAGCTTGAACAGAAAATTGTTTGACTAAATTTGTGTCTATGACCAAAACATATATTTGAACCTACCCTCATTCGATTCCATCTCCTCAATAGAAATTCTAAAAACCTGAATTTTAGGTAGGGGTGGCCTGGAACCGAATCTGTTGCTATAGCAACTTATCTTAACTTAAGTTAATTTTGAAGAACTGCTAAAGTACTATGATACTACTAGATTTGGTTG